TTATTAAAATCATTCAAATACAGAACGCTTGCTTAAAAAATAAATTTTTGTTTCAAAATCAAGGTCATATGCTAATTCTGACCAACGTTATCACTATAGAGGATGTAATAGATTTCGTATAGACATTGACATCTAACTTTTGCTAAGAATCACATTTTAATAAAAAGTCCACTGTTTATCCAAAGACAAAGACAATTGGTTTTCTAAGAATCAAAACTCTCAARCACACAATAACAACACCAAGCAACTCAAGCAGACTATATAAATATTCCGATGGATTTTTCTAGTTCTTTTAAAAAAAAACACGAAACAATTGTACGTAGAAAACAAAGGCTCGATATATCCAAATTCGAATCCAAGAAACTAAAAAGAGAAAATAATAAAAAAGAAAACTATGAAAACTTAAAAAAAAAACATACCATTTTTAAAGGTGGAGTCTTCTCTTCGAAGCAAAAATAATGAAATCCAAAAAAAAACATAGGAAACAAAAGAGATCAATTATATTAACAGAACCCCCACGCATCACACAGACCATAAGAACCTGCCTTGAAAATATCTTCAAAGAATATCACAATTGATAGAATATGGAATATCATGCATATGAACAAAAATAACAAACGAACTAACGAATAAAAAGCCAAAAAAAGAGCCAACCTTAGCTTATTTATGGGATTACAATTTAAAGTTGTTATCCAATGCTCTCTGGTTGTTCTAATGTACTATAGCTTTTAAACTCGTTAGTAAAATTATTCTTTCACCGTTAAAAAAGAATATTACTAATGTATATAATTCCTAATTAAGAAATTTTCAATCTTGTAAAAACCAAAAATTGACTGCAAAGAAAGAGATGGGTAAAAAGATGCTTACGCTACCACATGTTGATTGTGGTATCTTGATGTGATCATATGTGAAGATCAACTTCACAACCTTCTCTTCTATCGCAGTTGTACCACAAATGCAATTTCTTGCAACTTAATGAATAAGAAACACAACTTACGTTAGATTCAGGAAGAAGAGCAACATGTACATAAATTTCGTGGGTGAAATTTATTGTTTCAAGTCTCAGAAACCAAAAAAA